TGTGTGTGTAGATAAAAAGATATGCATTGATGTTGTGTATATACCTACTTATTTTCATGAATATTCACTGGGTCTGGCCTCTCAGAATTTCAGCAAACCGGTCAGAAGGTTCACGGGCAGATCACAAACGCTCTCTATCGCAGCCTCGACCATTTTTCAGGAAAACGTTTGGACCGTCACAATAACGCATTCGCCGTCAGAGTATCTTAGCGATCGTTGATACAGACACATGCACCCACTTTTAAACATACACATACAGCACATAATCCGGCGCACATGCCACATACATAAATAGACACATAATCAGACACAAAAACAAGAAGAAAGAAAAAAAACATCCCAAGGAAGAGAGGCCATTTATCTGCTCTTAATGACACATCAGAAAGAATATAATAAGCATGGAGATGAGAGATAGATTTAGAGAATGAGAGAGGATCTTGAATTCTCTTTTCTCTTTTTCAGTTATTTCTCTTCTTTTGGCAGCCCCTGTTACTCGTTATTATCTTTCAGTTATCAAGCTTCTTTTGCCTCACACTTCTCTTCCAATATTTCCCAACTCCCCTATTTTTCTCTCGCTATTATTCGTAACTGGAGCTTTCCAAACCACCATTCAATCTCAAAGTTACAGAGAAACGGTGAATGTTGGAATACTTTCGGTCACGTTCCTTTACTTGAACTGGGATTTTCAAGTAAGCCTGCCTTCATTTTTTCTGTTATAAATGAATCCGCTCATACACAGGAAATTCGAAATATACACAAGAATCCTTGAATATAAGCTGATTCTAGATCTTTTTTTTTTTTTTTATTCACGATCGATAGTGCTGTCTCCCTTTCTGGATTTCCTGAAAAATGAGAAACCTATCTGTCTCGGCATTGTTTACGATGACGTCATCTTTCGGCTGGTTCCTGCAGATCAATCGGGCTGAATTTTCGTGTGAACGTAAATGCAATGCTTTATTCTCTCACGGTTTATAGAGAAAACTATGCATATGGGCTACGTATATAAACACAGACAAACTCATACACATAAATGTACGTAAATATACTTTCTTAATAAGTAAACAAAGAAATTTTGGTGTAGCATCGAGGTCCGATGGCTTAGTGACCTATTCCTCAAACTTTTCCCCATCATTCCCTTCTTACGAAAGTCTTTGCGATGCCCCTCCAGTTTTCTCTCGAGACACTTACGAATGATAATAAATGTTTAACGGAATGCCTGTTTGGGATGACACGGCCTGCTAAAATCCTGCCATGGCCGTCCCTGGGCTATGGCTCACAGTTTGAGAACTAGACAAATAAATCTTTTCATCTCTCAAGTGAAAGACGTATGTGACATAAATTACAATTTTTTTCTAAAAGATATCGTTTTGAACCTTGTTCTTATTGTTTACTCTGGAGTCCTTTGACATTTTAAAATTAGCTTTGAAGCACCAATTCCAGCCTTCCCTTTGCGGTTCCCTAATGACTCAGGACCTCATGTTGGGGACCAGCAACTTACAGACTGTGAAAGATGTTTGAAGTTTGTATGAAAAAAGGTAATATCGGTCAATCCCAAAGGGATTAGGAATACAATCTAAAAATAAAGGATGCCTTTGGATTTCATTTTCTTGTGTTATTTTTCTGCCTATTGATTCACTGGTGGTCCTATATGACGGGAAGATAAGTGTATAGAGGAATAAATGCGTTTTCATTGTTGGTAAATGCTGAATTAACACGGAAGTATTAGACGTTAATGTCTAATATTTCAGTGTTAATTCAGCATTTACCAACAATGAAAACGCATATATTCCTCTATACACACTTATCTTCCCGTCATATAAGACACCAGTGAATCAATAGGCAGAAAAATAACACGACATAAGAAAATGAAATCCAAAGGCATCCTCTATTCGCAAATCCTATTCCCAATCCCTTTGCCCCTTCCCAGCACGACTGGCGTCCTCCACCGCGAGCCTCGAGCGTCCTGCGAAGCGCCACGAGAACCGCCATTGTCTGGCCGCCATATAAAAGGGAGCCGGAGGCGGATCCTGGCACTGGCGTTCTCACCTTCCTTGGCATCACACCGAGTCTCGAGATGGCGCTCAAGGCTGTGAGTGTTTGCTCGGCCAGTCCGTTTACCTGAACAATTTCCAGTCGATGTTAGTAACAAAAAGAATAATAACATTGTTCTTGCTGTCTTTGCAGATACTTATCGCTACTGTTGTAGCTCTTCTTGTGGCATGTGTGGCGGCAGGGCCTTTAGCTGATCCTGGTATGGCCATGGTGGACATGGTCATGGAGGATATGGCCATGGCGGGCATGGCCACGGTGGACATGGAGGATATGGCCATGGCGGACACGGAGGGTATGGCCACGGCGGACATGGAGGTTATGGCCATGGTGGACATGGTCATGGAGGATACGGCCATGGCGGGCATGGTGGATATGGCCATGGCGGACACGGTGGATATGGTAAGTTCATAACTTTTAGTCCAATATGAAATACAGACCCTAACAATGCTCTGAAAATCTGCCTGGAAAGAATGTTTAAATCTGAGACGAGACTGAATAAGCTTCCTTTCCTTTCCCACAGGCTGGTGATGCTCTTACAATGGTTTCTCTCTGATGTGAATAATAAAGATCTTTCACGTATTTCTGAGCATCTCTGTGTTGCATCCTCTACTGACCATTAGGAAAACTCCATTGTCTAAATATTCAAAAACATGATCTGACATTATCATTATTCTAATTATTTCCAAACAAGAGAAAGTACGCAAGAAACAAGAAAATGAAAATGAATATTCAAATGCCATGATGGAAAATATACTTTCATTCATGACAATAATGAAGATGTCCGTAAAAAACAATATACATACGCAATGATAGTATCGTGACCAATGAGGTTTAACTAAGTCGGTCCTCGGCACCCGGGAGACCATTTACAAAAAGAAAGAAAGAAAAAAGAAACGCAAACACTTTTTTATCACACACTCTAAGGTCACGCCTCGTTGACCCCCCCCCGCTCTCTTCAATCAGGAGCTACTTAGGAGGGGGTGCTATGACTGAATAATAAGAGAAATTCGACCGATTTATTAAGAGAGAGGCCCGACTCAGTTCATGGGCATGCATATATACAGATATAAGCGAATGCGCACACGCACATACACGCGCGCGCGCGCACACGCACATACATATATATGTCTGCATGTGTGTGTGTGTGCACGTACGTGTGTGTGTATAGATAAAAAGATATGCATTGATGCTGTGTATATACCTACTTATTTTCATGAATATTCACTGGGTCTGGCCTCTCAGAATTTCAGCAAACCGGTCAGAAGGTTCACGGGCAGATCACAAACGCTCTCTATCGCAGCCTCGACCATTTTTCAGGAAAACGTTTGGACCGTCACAATAACGCATTCGCCGTCAGAGTATCTTAGCGATCGTTGATACAGACACATGCACCCACTTTTAAACATACACATACAGCACATAATCCGGCGCACATGCCACATACATAAATAGACACATAATCAGACACAAAAACAAGAAGAAAGAAAAAAAAAACATCCAAGGAAGAGAGGCCATTTATCTGCTCTTAATGACACATCAGAAAGAATATAATAAGCATGGAGATGAGAGATAGATTTAGAGAATGAGAGAGGATCTTGAATTCTCTTTTCTCTTTTTCAGTTATTTCTTTTTTGGCAGCCCCTGTTACTCGTTATTATTCTTCAGTTATCAAGCTTCTTTTGCCTCACACTTCTCTTCCAATATTTCCCAACTCCCCTATTTTTTCTCTCGCTATTATTCGTAACTGGAGCTTTCCAAACCACCATTCAATCTCAAAGTTACAGAGAAACGGTGAATGTTGGAATACTTTTCGGTCACGTTCCTTTACTTGAACTGGGATTTTCAAGTAAGCCTGCCTTCATTTTTTCTGTTATAAATGAATCCGCTCATACACAGGAAATTCGAAATATACACAAGAATCCTTGAATATAAGCTGATTCTAGATCTTTTTTTTTCTTTTATTTCACGATCGATAGTGCTGTCTCCCTTTCTGGATTTCCTGAAAAATGAGAAACCTATCTGTCTCGGGCATTGTTTACGATGACGTCATCTTTCGGCTGGTTCATGTAGATCAATCGGGCTGAATTTCGTGTGAACGTAAATGCAATGCTTTATTCTCTCACAGTTTATAGAGAAAACTATATAAACATATATAAACACACACACACACACACAACATAAATGTACCTAAACACACATTCATAATGAAGTAAAACAAAGAAATTTTGGTGCAGCATCGAGGTCCGATGGCCTAGTGACCTATTTTTTCAAACTTTTCCCCATCATTCCTTTCTTACGAAAGTCTAAACATCTTTGCGATGCCCCTCCAGTTTTCTCTCGAGGCACTTACGAATGATAATAAATGTTTTACGGAATGCCTGTCTAGGATGACACAGCCTGCTAAAATCTTGCCATGGCCATCCCTAGGCTATGGCTCCCAGTTTGAGAACTAGAGAAATGAATCTCGACTTTTTCATCTCTCAAGTGAAAGTCGAGGCACACAATTCCGGATTTTAACAAAGCGTCATCTTTAGGAACCTTGTTGTGGATTCACTCTAAGTCTCTTGAAATCCAATATTCCAGCCTTCCTTTTGTGGATCCCTATTGGTTCAGCGACCTCATGTTGGGGAGCCCATTAACCTTAAAGGAACATGTTTGAACGCATACTAAATTTAAGTATGCATTCAGCATTACCAAAAATGAAAACGCACATATTCCTCTATGTATACTTATCTTCCCGCCATATACGAAAAATGACCATGACAAAACAAGACAATAAAGGAATAAATAAGCAGAAAAAATAACAAGCATTCCTTTGCCCCTTCCCAGCACGACTGGCGTCCTCCATCGCGAGCCTCGAGCGTCCTGCGAGGCGCCACGAGAACCGCCATTGTCTGGCCGTCATATAAAAGGGAGCCGGAGGCGGATCCTGGCACTGGTGTTCTCACCTTCCTTGGCATCACAACCGAGTCTCGAGATGGCGCTCAAGGCTGTGAGTGGTCTTTTGGTTACTTTTATTTTCTCTAAAAAGTAATAAGTATGGTTATCCTTATCTAATTGAGTCAATGTCCCTTACAGATATTTGTTGCTGCTGTTGTAGCTCTTGTTGTGGCATGTGTGGCGGCAGGACCATTAGCTGATCCTGGGTATGGACACGGTGGACACGGAGGGCATGGCCATGGCGGGCATGGTGGATATGGCCATGGAGGACACGGCGGGTATGGCCACGGCGGACACGGCGGGTATGGACATGTCGGACATGGTGGGTATGGACATGGCGGACACGGAGGATATGGCCACGGCGGACACGGTGGATACGGTATGTATTTTCTTTTTTAATTTAAAATTAAAACCAATACGTTAATGCAGGCACCAGTGTCAAGTGTCAAAATGGTGGTATGAGATTCTGAATATGCACTCTTTCTTCCTTACAGGTTGGTGATATTACAGGAGTGGCTTTATCTTACTTGGATCAATAAATATACAATCTCATTTTGTATTCCATTATTCCTCAACCAATACCTTGGAAAATAACACGCATACACGCACGCCCATATAGAAATTCGTTCATAATGAAAAAATAAACACCAAACGACAATTACTAGAGAAAGNTACTCTATAACGATATTCATATAAATATAATATATATACTAGGATATATTTACATTGTCTGTATATGTAATGTATACATCTTAATACAAAAGACACGCGCAGCACATACACTACATTTATTATACATAGGTATAAACCCAGCACACTAGTATATATATATATACATTATTAATATATATATATACATAGTACATATTACACTAATTACAATAATACAATAAAATATACTATTGTCGTGTGTGCGTGTGTGTGTGTCGTGTGTGTGTGTGTGTGTGCGTGCATAAATATGCTGTGTATATATATGTACATATATATACATACAACCATATATATAAATATATATAATAATAACATATACATATATATATATGCATATATATTATATATTATATTTCATACCTATATGTGAATAGATACATATAATGTTTATAAATTCATGAATATAAGTATTATATGTATCACACATAATTTATATATTTGTTCTTAGACATATGTAATATATGTATATTTATGTAAGTATGTGCATACACATAACAATACATATATACTCATGTATATAAAATGTATATATATGTTTGTGTGTGTGTGTATGTACGCATACACACACACACACGCATATATTATATGTATCCATACATACATACATAAACCAACACACACACACACACAACAACACAACCACACACAACACACACACAACACACACACAACATAGATATATATAGTCTATACATATAGTAACACAAATATGCATGCAGTGATGATCTGCATATTATCTTATGTATAGCTCATACACAGATCATAATATAAAATATATGACCGGCTTCGGTAACTATATACAAGTATAATGATATATACATACGTATATATATATATACATATATATCCCAGTGCCCATATGTGAATCCGCTGCATCATAAACGATATATATTTATATGTATATTTATGTATAGATATGCACACACACATACACATACACGTATGTAAAAGCACGTGAGTTACGTACATTAAAATACATTTATTCGCTTCCCAAAGCACAAGTGAGAGAGCTTGCCCTTAATGATATATACACGCACGGCAAATTGGATGACAATTGCATAACCAAGGTAAAACTCACATGCATAGTTGTTTGCAATTTATATTATCCTCTTTCTCCCAGCACGGCTACGTCCTTCACCGTGAGCCTCGGGCATCCGTCACGAGAACCGCCATTGTCTGGCCGCCATATAAAAGGGAGCCGGAGGCGGATCCTGGCACTGGCGTTCTCACCTTCCTTGGCATCACAACCGAGTCTCGAGATGGCGCTCAAGGTTGTGAGTGTTTGCTCGGCCAGTCTGTTTACCTGAACAATTTCCAGTCGATGTCAGTAACAGAAAGACTAATTAAATAATGATTTTGTTCTTGCTGTCTTTGCAGGTATTTATCGCTACTGTTGTAGCTCTTCTTGTGGCATGTGTGGCGGCAGGGCCACTAGCTGATCCTGGGTATGGGCACGGTGGACACGGAGGGTATGGCCATGGCGGGCATGGAGGGTATGGCCATGGTGGACATGGTCATGGAGGATATGGCCATGGCGGGCATGGCCACGGTGGATATGGCCACGGTGGACATGGTGGATATGGCCATGGCGGACACGGTGGATATGGTAAGTTCATAACTTTTAGTCCAATATGAAATACAGACCCTAACAATGCTCTGAAAATCTGCCTAGAAAGAATGTCTAAATCTGAGACGAGACTGAATAAGCTTCCTTTCCTTTCCCACAGGCTGGTGATGCTCTTGCAATGGTTTCTCTCTGATTTGAATAATAAAGATCTTTCACGTATTTCTGAGCATCTCTGTGTTACATCCTCTACTGACCATTAGGAAACCTCCATTGTCTAAATATTGAAAAACATGATCTGACATTATTATTATTCTAATTATTCCCAAACAAGAGAAAATACGCAACAAAATAGAAAATGAAAAAGAATTTTTATTCAAATGCCATGATGGAAAATATACTTTCAATCATGACAATATTGAAGATGTCCGTAATAAAACAATATAACAAACGCAATGATAGTATCGTGACCAATGAGGTTTAACTGTTTAAGTCGGTCCTCGACACCCGGGAGACCATTTACAAAAAGAAAGAAAGAAAGAAAAAAAACACTTCTTTTATCACACACTCTAAGACCATCTCCCGCCTCGTTGACCTCACTTTCTTCAATCAGGGGCTACTTAGGAGGGGTGCCATGACTGAATAAAAATAAGAAAAATTAACATTTCTATAGAGCAATATTCTGTGTGAATCTAAAGTATGTTCTGCTAATCAGCATTCTTTCCAATGCTGAAATATTCGACCGATTTATTAAGAGAAAGGCCCAACTCAGTACATATGGCCATTCATATATACAGATATAAGCGAATGCGCACAAGCACTTACACGCGCACACATACATAGGTATGGGTGTCCGTACATGTGTGTGTAAATAGAAAGATATGGATTGATTCTGTGTATATGCCTATTTTCATGAATATTCATTGGGTTTGGCCTCTCGAAATTTCAGCAAACCGGTCGGCTGAGTTCAGAAGGAACTCAGAAGGTTCATGGGCTGATCAAAAACGTTCTCTATCGTAGCCTCGACCATTGTTCAGGAAAACGTTTGAACCGTTACAATAACGCATTCGCCGTCAGAGTAACTTAGCGTTCACTGATGCAGACACATGCACCCACTTCCAAACAAACACATACAGCACATAATGAGACGCACATATCACATGCATAAATAGACATATAATCAGACATACAAAAGCAAAAAGAAAGAAAGAAAGGGCATGGCCATGGTGGACATGGAGGATATGACCATGGCAGGCATGGAGGGTATGGCCATGGTGGACATGGAGGATATGGCCATGGCGGACACGGTGGATATGGTAAGTTCATGACTGTTAATCCAATATGAAATACAGCCCCTTAACAATGCTCTGGAAATCTGCCTAGAAAGAATGTCTAAATCTGAGACGAGACTGAATATGCTTCCTTTTCTTTCCCACAGGCTGGTGATGCTCTTACAATGGCTTTTCTCTGATGTGAATAATAAAGATCTTTAACGTATTTCTAAGCATCTCTGTGTTACATCCTCTACTGACCATTTAGAAACCTCCATTGTCTCTAAGCATTTAAAAACTTTATCTGACATCACTAATCATTCCTCAGCAAGAGAAAATATCCAGCAAAAAAGAAAATGGCCAATGGAAATGAATCGTCGCTAAAATGCCATAATGGAACCTATCCTTTGCTATATAAGAATATCCAAGATGAATGTCAATTAACGCTATAAAATAACGTCTAAATGCTTATACGTCCAAGCCCTTACATGTTTTCAACTATGAATAGCACTAAAAGTTATGGCCATCTATAGTTGTATTCCCAACATAGGCCTACCTTCTCGACCAGCGTAAATCATTCAGCTAGCCATTTTTTTTTTTTTTAATAACCTCCGCTGTCTGAAGTCAGGGTCTGTTTAGATGTGGAGTGGCATGACTGAATAATAATAACATATATTTAAAAAAAAAACAATATCCTAATTGAATCTAAATTAAGTGACGTTCTAAGCCTATTATGAAGACGAGAACGGTTTTTATTTCCCATGCTGATATATTCGGCCCATCTGTTAAAATAGCGAGAAGTCCGACACAGTGAATAGGCACATATATGTATACATGACACATACACATATATATAATACACACACGTACGTGTATATGTATACTTGTACACATACATGCATACACACACACACACACACACACACACACACACACACACACACACACATATATATATATATATATACACACACACATATATATATATATATATATAATATATATATATATAATATATATATATGTAAGCGCGCTTGTACACATACCTATATCTATATGTTTAAATATGTATTAATTCATTTATACATGTAGGACACGCACATAGGTAGATAGCTATACAGATAGGAAGAAATTTCTGTCTCGGTTCATATTTGTGGATATCCATCGGGTCTGGCCTCTCGCAATTCCAACAAAGCGGCACAGTTCACACACACAACTCAGAAGGTCGATCGCAGACGCTGTTTCGTAATCTTTACCTATATTTTGGAAAACGTATAGACCGTCACACTAATGTATTTGTTGACAGATTAACTTTAGTGTCCATCAGAACTCACATACGCACACTGTTAAACATACACAAACAGCACATGTACATAAGCAGACACCACCTCACACACATAAACGGACAATCATGCACAGACAGAAGAGAGGTCATTCGTCTATAGAATTTAGAATTTTTCTATTTAAGAGACATCTGAAAGAAATAATATAATAAAAGCGAGAAAGATGAATTTGGAGAAAAAGAAAAGAACTTTGTGTCTTATTCTTTCGTAGTTCTGTTACTCAGTGTTCTTTAGTTGTCAACCTTCTTTTGCCTTTCCCACTTCTGTTCTAATATTTTCCAGTTCCCTCATTTTCGCTTCGTTATTCGAAACTGGAGCTCTTCACGCATTACTGTTTGACATCCTGATATCAAGATTGTTTCCAAATCCTTATTCTATTTCAAAGTCACTGGAAAAGTTGTGAATGATGTTGGAAAACACTGGAACTAGGTTTTCCAAGTTAGTCTACAGTCCGTTCTGATACAGACAGATACACTTGTATACAGGAAATTCAAAGTATTATCCTAGGGAGGTGAACTGATTATTGATTTTTTTCCCTTTTTTTCATTATTTCACGAACGGTAGTGCTGTCTCCCTTTCCGGATTTTCTTAAAACTGAAAAACCTATCTGTCTCGGGCACTGTTTACGATGACGTCATCTTTCGGCTGGTTCATGCAGATCAATCGGGCTGAATTTCATGTGTACGTAAATGGTATGTATTATTCTCTATGCATATAGGCTATACATAAAAACGCAAAAGCACACACACACCATCACGAATGTCCACAAACAGTTTAGAACCAGATAAATAGACCTCGTGCTTCGATCTCTCGTGTATTGTTTACACTGGACACACTTGAAATTCTGAACTTTGCTTCTGCGGATCCCTAATGGCTCGGGGACCTCATGTTGGGTATCAGTAGCCTACTGACTGTGGCAGAGGAACATGTTTAAATTGCTTAACAATGAGTAATAACTAAGTCATAATCATTACAACGCATCATTGTGTAGTTTGCATTCACCACTCATCAACAATGAAAATGCATCTATTTCTTAATGTACACATATCGCCTCGTTATAGAAGAGCCACAACTAGAACCAAACCAAAAGGTGGATCAATAAACAACAAATAACAAAATAAAGAAGTAACGCCTGTGAAATCCGAAGCTATATTTGCTTATGAATCCTATTTCCATTCCTTTTGCCTCTTCCGAGCACGATTAACGTACTCCATCGCGAGCCTCGAGCGTCCTGCGAGGCGCCACGAGAACCGCCATTGTCTGGCCGCCATATAAAAGGGAGTCGGAGGCGGATCCTGGCACTGGCGTTCTCACCTTCCTTGGCATCACAACCGAGTCTCGAGATGGCGCTCAAGGCTGTGAGTGTTTGCTCGGCCAGTCTGCTTACCTGAACAATTTCCAGTCGATGTCAGTAACAGGAAGACTAATTAAATAATGATTTTGTTCTTGTTGTCTTTGCAGGTATTTATCGCTACTGTTGTAGCTCTTCTTGTGGCATGTGTGGCGGCAGGGCCACTAGCTGATCCTGGGTATGGCCATGGTGGACACGGAGGGCATGGCCACGGTGGACATGGGGGTTATGGCCATGGTGGACATGGAGGATATGGCCATGGCGGGCATGGAGGGTATGGCCATGGTGGACATGGTCATGGAGGATATGGCCATGGCGGGCATGGCCACGGTGGACATGGGGGTTATGGCCATGGTGGACATGGAGGCTATGGTCATGGTGGGCATGGACATGGAGGATATGGCCATGGAGGGTATGGCCACGGTGGACATGGTCATGGAGGATATGGACATGGCGGGCATGGCCACGGTGGACATGGAGGTTATGGCCATGGCGGACACGGTGGATATGGTAAGTTCATAACTGCTAATCTGATATGAAAACAGCCCCTTAACAATGCTCTGGAAATCTGCCTAGAAAGAATGTCTAAATCTGAGACGAGACTGAATATGCTTCCTTTTCTTTCCCACAGGCTGGTGATGCTCTTACAATGGCTTTTCTCTGATGTGAATAATAAAGATCTTTCACGTATATCTAAGCATCTCTGTTACTTCCTCCACTGCCAAAATATTTAAAAACATTATTTGACATGACCGATCATTTCTCAACAAGAGAAAATACTCGGCAAAAAATAACATGAATCTTTATTAAAATGCCATGATGGAAACTAGACTTTCATACATGACAGTATTTAACGTAGATGTCAGTAATATAACGTTATAACATACGCAATGACAGCATCTTGACCAGTGAGGTTCAAGAGCTTATGCACAAAGCTCACATGTTTAACTAGTAATGGAAATAAAGCCTTCCTAGGCCAGGACTACCGTTTCGACCAGTAAATCATATCTAAAACTCTCCGTGATTTATCCATCTGTAAACAAACCCAACTAGACAAGAAATGGCGCTTTACACCCATCAGCTCTCTTCCTTTAGGAAGTTACTCTTCGTGCGGACGCAGATGCTGCACAATGCTTTCACTTCAGACACTCCAAAGGGAGGAAGCAAGAACCTGCCATCGAGGAGAGGCACAACCGCATAAAGGTAGACGTCTCGTCAGCCAGAGGACAGAGAAAGACGGCAGACAAACGGAGAAGTGCGAGGTCTAAGCTCGCCACCACTCCGTCCTCGACACCAGGGAGACCATTCACATAAAATACACACGCAAGGTCTCCTCTTATTACCCACTATAGGCCATCTCCCGCCTCGTCGACACACCCTCTCTTCAAGCAGGGGCTACTTAGGAGGGGGTGGCATAACTGAATATATAATAAGCATTTTCATAGAACAATATTCTGTATGAATCTAAAGTAAGCAATGTTCTGCTGATGAATTTCCCAATGCTGATATGTTCAACCGGTTAATTAAGAGAGTGAGAGGCCCGACCCAGTGAATGTGCACACATATGGACATGTATGTATGCAGAAATAAGCGAATGCACACACTCATACACACATACATATATGTGTGTGTGTGTGCGTGGCTATGTGTCTACAGACATACGTACACATATACATATATGTACACACACACACACATAAAGATAGGTAGGTAGGTAGATAGAAAGATATGCGTTGATTCTGTGTATATGCCTAACTATTTTCATGAATATTTTTTGGGTCTGGCCTCTCAGAATTTCAACAAACCGGTCAGAAGGTTCACGGGCAGATCTCAAACGTTTTCTATCGCAGCCTCGACCATTGTTCAGGAAAACGTTTAGACCGTCACAATAACACATTCGCCGTCAGAGTAACTGAATGTCCAGTGATACGGACACACATGTACCCATTTTCATACATGCACATACGGCACATAATGAACACACACATCACGCGCATAAATATACACACATAATCAGACACACACAAAAGAGAGAAAAAAAAAAAAATCAACAAAAATAAAAATAGGCATCCAAGGAAAAATATAATAAATATGGAACTGAGAGATTTAGGAAAAAAAAGAGAACTTAATTTCTTTTCTCTTTTTTCAGTTATTTTCTCTTCATTTCGCAGTCCCTGCTAATTCCCAATTCTTCAGTTCTAAAACTTCTTTTGCCTCCCACCTCTCATCCAATATTTTCCAACTCCCTTATTTTTCTGTCTCTATTATTCGAATTGGAGCTCTTCACACATTAGGGTTTGTCATCTTCATATTGTCATTCCCAAATTATCCTTCATTCTCGAAGTCGCAGGGAAAGCGGTGAATGATGTTAGAATACTTTCGGTCCCATTCCGTTACTTCAACTTGAATTTTCAAGCCAGTCTGCTGTCACTTCATTCTGATACAAATAAATACGCTGATGCATAGGAAATCCGAACTATTATGCAGGAGAATCCTTCGAGGTGAACTGATTCTTGATTTTTTTTTCTTTTATTTCACGAACGGTAGTGCTGTCTCCCTTTCTGGATTTCCTGAAAAATGAAAAGCCTATCTGTCTCGGGCATTGTTCACGATGACGTCATCTTTCGGCTGGTTCATGCAGATCAATCGGGCTGAATTTCGTGTGAACGTAAATGTTGTTTTATCCTCTCACGGTTTACATAGAAAACTATGCATATGGGCTACATATATAAACACACAACAACATAAATGTACATAAACATGCATTCATAATGAAGTAAAACAAAGAAATTTTGGTGTAGCATCGAGGTCCGATGGCCTAGTGACCTATTCTCAAACTTTTCCCCATCATTCCTTTCCTACGAAAGTCTAAACATCTTTGCGATGCCCCTCCAGTTTTCTCTCGAGGCACTTACGAATGATAATAAATGTTTAACGGAATGCCCGTTTGGGATGACACGGCCTGCTAAAATCCTGCCATGGCCGTCCCTGGGCTATGGCTCACAGTTTGAGAACTAGATAAATAAATCTTTTCATCTCTCAAGTGAAAGGCGTATGTGACACAAAAATACGATTTTTTTTTCTAAAAGATATCATTTGGAACCTTATTTTTATTATATTGTTTACTCTTGAGTCCTTTGAGATTTTAAAATTAGCTTTGAAGCACCAGATTCCAGCCTTCCCTTTGCGGTTCCCTAAGGACTCAGGGGCCTCATGTTGGGGACCAGTAACTTAGACTGTGGGAATGTTTTTAACTTTGTATGAAAATAAGGTAATATGTGTCAAAATCATGATACGATGTCATTATTAACGTCTAATATTTCAGTGTTAATTCAGTATTTACCAACAATGAAAACGCTAATATTCCTCTATACACACTTATCTTCCCGTCGTATAGGGCCACCAGTGAATCAACAGGCAGAAAAATAACACGACATAGAAAATGAAATCCAAAGGCATCCTCTATTCGCAAATCCTATTCCCAATCCCTTTGCCCCTTCCCAGCACGACTGGCGTCCTCCACCGCGAGCCTCGAGCGTCCTGCGAGGCGCCACGAGAACCGCCATTGTCTGGCCGCCATATAAAAGGGAGCCGGAGGCGGATCCTGGCACTGGCGTTCTCACCTTCCTTGGCATCACAACCGAGTCTCGAGATGGCGCTCAAGGCTGTGAGTGTTTGCTCGGCCAGCCTATTTACCTGAACATTTTCCAGTCGATGTCAGTAACAGGAAGACATTGAATAATAACACTGTTCTTGCTGTCTTTGCAGGTACTTATCGCTACTGTTGTAGCTCTTCTTGTGGCATTTGTGGCGGCAGGGCCACTAGCTGATCCTGGGTATGGCCATGGTGGACATGGTCATGGAGGATATGGCCATGGCGGACACGGAGGGTATGGCCACGGCGGACATGGAGGTTATGGCCATGGTGGATATGGTCATGGAGGATACGGTCATGGCGGACACGGTGGATATGGTAAGTTCATAACTTTTAATCCAATATGAAATACAGACCCTAACAATGCTCTGAAAATCTGCCTAGAAAGAATGTTTAAATCTGAGACGAGACTGAATAAGCTTCCTTTCCTTTCCCACAGGCTGGTGATGCTCTTACAATGGCTTTTCTCTGATGTGAATAATAAAGATCTTTCACGTATTTCTGAGCATCTCTGTGTTGCATCCTCTACTGACCATTAGGAAACCTCCATTGTCTAAATATTGAAAAACATGATCTGACGTTATCATTATTCTAATTATTCCCAAACAAGAGAAAGTACGCAAGAAACAAGAAAATGAAAATGAATATTCAAATTCCATGATGGAAAATATACTTTCATTCATGACAATAATGAAGATGTCCGTAATAAAACAATATAACATACGCTATGATAGTATCGTGACCAATGAGGTTTAACTAAGGGTCCTCGGCGGGAGACCATTTACAAAAAGAAAGAAAGAAAAAAAAACGCAAACACTTTTTTATCACACACTCTAAGGTCACGCCTCGTTGACCCCCCCCCCCGCTCTCTTCAATCAGGAGCTACTTAGGAGGGGGTGCTATGACTGAATAATAAGAGAAATTCGACCGATTTATTAAGAGAGAGGCCCGACTCAGTTCATATGGGCATGCATATATACAGATATAAGCGAATGCGCACACGCACATACACGCGCGCGCGCGCACACGCATACACATATTTATGTCTGCATGTGTGTGTGTGCACGTACGTGTGTGTGTGTAGATAAAAAGATATGCATTGATGTTGTGTATATACCTACTTATTTTCATGAATATTCACTGGGTCTGGCCTCTCAGAATTTCAGCAAACTGGTCAGAAGGTTCACGGGCAGATCACAAACGCTCTCTATCGCAGCTTCGACCATTTTCCAGGAAAACGTTTGGACCGTCACAATAACGCATTCGCCGTCAGAGTATCTTAGCGTTCATTGATACAGACACATGCACCCACTTTTAAACATACACATACAGCACATAATCAGGCGCACATGCCACATACATAAATAGACACATAATCAGACACAAAAACAAGAAGAAAGAAAAAAAATATCCCAAGGAAGCGAGGCCATTTATCTGCTCTTAATGACACATCAGAAAGAATATAATAAGCATGGAGATGAGAGATAGATTTAGAGAAAGAGAGAGGACCTTGAATTCTCTTTTCTCTTTTTCAGTTATTTCTCTTCTTTTGGCAGCCCCTGTTACTCCTCATTCGTCTTCAGTTGCCAAGCTTCTTTTGCCTCCCACTTCTCTTCCAATATTTCCCAACTCCCCTATTTTTCTCTGGCAATCATTCGTAACTGGAGCTTTCCAAACCATCATTCAATCTCGAAGTTGCAGGGAAACGGTGAATGATGTTGGTCACATTCCTTTACTTGAACTGGGATTTTCAAGTAAGCCTGCCTTCATTATTTCTGTTATAAATGAATGCGCTTATACATACGAAATTCGAAATATAAACAAGAATCCTTGATGTGCTGCTTCTTGATCATTTTTTCTTTTATTTCACGAACGGTAGTGCTGTCTCCCTTTCTGGATTTCCTGAAAAATGAAAAGCCTATCTGTCTCGGTCATTGTTTACGATGACGTCATCTTTCGGCTGGTTCCTGCAGATCAATCGGGCTGAATTTCGTAAGAACGTAAATGCAATGCTTTATTCTCTCACGGTTTATAAACTATGCATATAGGCTACATATATAAACACAGACAAACACACACAACATAAATGTACATAAACACATTCATAATGAAGTAAAACAAATAAATTTTGGTGTAGCATCGAGGTCCGATGGCCTAGTGACCTATTTCTCAAACTTTTCCCCATCATTCCTTTCCTACGAAAGTCTAAACATCTTTGCGATGCCCCTCCAGTCTTCTCTCGAGGCACTTACGAATGATAATAAATGTTTTACGGAAATCCTGTTCGGGATGACACTGCTTGCTAAAATCCTGCCATGTCCATCCCTGGACTGTGGCTCGCAGTTTGAGAACTAGATAAATTATTTTTTTCATCTCTCAAGCGAAAGACGTGTGACATAAAAATACGATTTTTTCTAAAAGATATCACTTGGAACCTTGTTTTTATTGTATTGTTTACTCTGGAGTCCTTTGAGATTTTAAAATTAGCTTTGAAGCACCAGATTCCAGCCTTCCCTTTGCAGTTCCCTAAGGACTCAGGGACCTCA